CGATCTAATTTGTTTTTTTTTCATGAATTCTTTTACAGGTTTTGCAACGTGAGGTCTTGCGTTGTCTTGTTGAAAGATGGAATGACCACAATCACTCAGTGGAAATTTTTTTAGGGCAGGAAGAGCGTATCTTTGGAGAATCTTGACGTATGTGGCGCCAGTAACAGAAGATTCAAGTGGGACAAGGGGCCCAACACCATACCAAAAGAAGTAGCCCCAGTATATTCAATCCAGACTACGACCTACGGTGGGATTCAAGCAATCAGCTGCCCATTTTTCATGAGACTCATGCCAAACATGACCAGGGAAACCTTGAAAAAGACTAACAGTGGTCTCATCTGACCACAAAACATGCTTGAAGTGCTGGACAGACCATTTTTCATGGGTAAGAACCCAATCATACCTTTTTATTTATTTTGTGAAGAGACAAACGGTTTCAAGGAGGTGACACATGATCTCAAGTTTTCACTATGTAATACATGGCGCATGGTGCTGGTAGAAACTTTTTTTTTTTTTTTTTTATTATAAAGGTTGATAACTTGAGTGAAATTAAGATAGCGGTTGTCATTAATAACTAAATTTTTTAAGATTTTGCGATTAGCAGAAGAGAGGATTCTGGAATGTCCAGTTCTTTTCTTTTTTGCCTCAATAGCACCCAGTCGACAAAACCCACTTATGACATTCCACACGGCAAACTTACTGCATCCAACAGCAGCTGAAATAGCATAAACCGAATCTCCTCGCTGGTGACCATAAACTATCACACTTTTTTGGCTTTCCGTCAAATCTCAATTGCTATCTATTGTCCGTGAGAAGATAAGATAATCTTTAGTTAATCATTATATAACCGTGTCCTTCTAATATTACATAATCTTACCTATGTGCTGTACAACATTTGAGCAAAGTTTGAAACAATTTTGACAAGAATTTGATTTTTTATGAATTTTTTTTTAAAAAAAAAAAAATTCAAGATCGATCGCCGGCTAGTTCCAAAAACTACAAGTCGTCATGCTTTTTACATAACTTCTGTGCAACCTAACAAAACTGCATGAAATTCTAGCAAGTAATATCTTAAGATTTATCAAACATGTAACAAAATTTTCGTGTTATATTTATTTACCCAGTTTTAAATAATAAAAATTTAAAAAGTGTTCCCAATATTTTGGTAAGGCACTGTATAAAAAAAAAAATGATCAGAAATAGGTAAAAAAAAATTGAAGGGTTTTTTTCTCTTTAGGGCTAAAGTGTGATATATGCAAGGATTGATAAAAAAATTGTCATTTTTTTTGCACCATACTGTAAATTCATATATTGTAAGTGTAAGTTAACTTAAATGAACCTTGGTATATGCGTAATTGGATATAAAAAATTTTTTTAATTGGTGGTTGATTAGCATTTAATGAATGTGATTTGCGATTATCAATCACATGATAATGAGCACAAATACATAACATGAATTCGTTAGATAAAGCGTTCTAAGTTCGTCCTTATGTCTTTAAGAGTTATAGGAAACAGTTTTTTTACAGGTAAGGCCTAGTGGAAGAAATGGAAAACTTAAAAATTTTCTAATCCCAAATTTTTTTAAATTTTATTGTATGCAGTTCCCACTGTAAGGTTTCTAGCGGCAACTAAGCGCACCTCAATTCCTGGGTACGATTATATTTGAAGAAAGACTATTTTCGAATTTTGGTCATTTTTATGCTGAGAATATTCAATCAACTCGACCCGGAAGTAATACGGGAAAAAGTTTTGATATTATTAAAAAAGAGGATCTGTGTATTAATGTGAATTTTCTGTATCGACTCATGTACTATATAAATTATATAGAATTAGGAGTTATGCAGCCTCTCCAAAAGATGGTAAGTTCTTAATAAATTACATTAATGGGTTGTAAATACTGGAGTTTTATATTATATTAATTCGATAATTCATTAATCAGATAGTCAATTAGATCCCTCAAAAAAAGCCCTTAGCATTATCGATTCCCTCCCCGGGAATTCCATAATTTCCAAGACAGGTTATATCACAGTGGGTGCCGGATTGGCAACTTTAGTAATTTCCAAAGAATTATACGTTGCTAATGAAGAGACCTTGATGGTGGTTGCCTTTGCTGGAATGGCGACTGCCGTTTATCGTATGGCCAAGCAACCCTTCAATGAATGGGCGGCGGAGCAAATGGCTGTAGGTGTTACTAGCTCAACGTATAATAATTAGAGTAAACAAATATTCTAACCTTTTTGGTATAATTTTTATCAAAGCGCGTTAACAACGTTCTTGATCAAGCTCAGGAGGATCACAAGTCTGCAGTAAAGGAAAGAATTAATACAGTTAGTCAATTGAGAGACATTGTTGATGTTACAAAAACATTATTCGCGATTTCTAAGGTAAACTGAATTTGGAAAGCAGAAATAGTGGCGATATATTTTTTTTTTACTTGCGATAGTTTTTATAAAGGAAACCGCGAAAATAGAAGCTGAGGCCTTTGAGTTGAAACAAAAAGTTGCCGTAGCTAGTGAAGTAAAATCCGTTCTCGATTCATGGGTACGATATGAAGCATCTTTACGTGAGCGAGAACGGAAGGCACTTGCAAATCATATTATTGAACGTGTTAAAGTTCAATTGGAGGATTCTACATTGGTATGTACGATGATGCACAGTGGTATTAAAATTTGATGACTTGTGTTAATTTCTATTTGCTATTCTACAGCAACAAAAAATTTTGGACCAATCTCTTATTGATCTTGAAAGTAAGCTTAAAAGTTTTTTCTGTATGTTTTATTGATTTTCTTATCTCATTAACAGAAAATTATTTAATATCTTGATCTTAATAGGAATTGTTGATGCTAAATCGGCATAGTCTATAGACATTAACAATCGTCAACAATATCAATAGAGTTGTAAGAACATTCATTTATCTGCAATTTTGGAAATTTTAATAAAATCACAATTAACTGTTGTTTTAATAATTTGATTAGTTTAAACAAATTGTTAATGCAAGGACGTCAAATAAGATGTTGAATTGATAATATAATATAATTTACAAATTAATGTTGATGAGTTTTGTTTAAATTAAAGTTATATACTGTATCAGCAGAATTGACAATAGGTTAATAACCTTATTGATAAACAAATTATATTAAAACAAAACATTATTATTATAAATAATTCGCAAGGCACCTTTTATTTGATGTTATATTATACATATTAATAAAACTGTCTTTGTACGCGACAAAATTAACGGAACCTAATTCTTTGATAAATATTATCATTTCTTTGAATAAAAAAAATTTTAATTAGTACCTACAGTACATAATATACTGTATATTATTTGTCTATGGATGTGATCGACATTAAACGATAAACAATTGTAAATCTAATCAGGTAAATTAGATGTGAGTAGCAGCTCAGTTCGGAATTTTTTCCCTTTTATAATAATGCCCTCTACACAATCAGAAATGCCTCAAAACTCTACAGAGTCTTCCCATTCTACTTTATCATCCTCTTACAAAATTCGCGCAAATCTCTCTCCTCTCGAACGTTTCATTACCATAACCACAATCTCGCTAGGCTGGGGTCTGTTGTTTGGTTCCTATCCTGGCGCGAAAACAGCGGGTCTTCAGTATCTAGCTGAGAATGCTCACAAACTTCCTCGTACTAGAAGCGGATGGTATCATTACCATAAACGTAAAAATTTTGTAATGATAGTGGGTGGTATGAAAAGTGGTATTTATCTGGCCGGTAAAACTAGTTTGATATGTTTGTGTTTTAGCAGTGTAGAAACGATATTGGATGAATTGAGAAAAGAAAATGATATCTGGAATAGTTGTGCTGCAGGCTTTGTGAGTGCAAGCATTGTATCAATTTTTTGTGAGTATAATCTTTTACTATTTTTTTTCGTATTATATCCAATTAATTACTGATGGATCTTTTTATTAATAGATCGTTTACCACGGCAGAGCACAAAATATGCATACATTATAGGGCTTGGATTTGGATTATTTACTGGTGGCATGCAAGATTACCTTAAGTACTCTCAAGGGCAAAAAATTTGGTATATAGATAGACTAAAAACAATCAAGTATAAGTAAAATGATAACTAAAAATGTAACAAGAATTCGGTTAAAATTCCTGCTGTCAATGTACCGAGGCACCTTAAATAATGCCAAATTGAGAGATTGGGGTAGAACCAACACGATGGCATTGTATCCTTGAAGGTCGAAGAAACAACCATTTTCAATGACACTCATTTCACGTTTTTTGGTTACACTTAAGGTGTTGCAGGCCTCTTTCTCTAACCTAAAAGCTGACGTAAATTTAAATAAAAACGAATATTATATTTCTGCTGTTATTAAAGGCAATAAATTTAAGCAAAATATATTCTTTTTATTTGCAAGTTAAAATCATATGTCAGAATAATTAAATTTATTATTAGATGTTATCTTGAACTAGATTAGACACATGTTTAATGAAATTGTATTATTAAAATAACACTTGGAATAGGTTTTATTTTATAACCTGTAATTAAGTTTGTATCACGTGTTTATTAAACTATTACAAATATAAAACAAGATTTGGTGTTGTCAAATTGCATTGTATTGAGTTGGCACAAGGCATGCAAGATTGATAAGATACATGTAATTTTTAAATAATGATTTGCTAATTTTTGCAAAAAATTAATACAAATATTTATTGTATATTTCCTAGTCTATTATTATATATTATATTTATTTAATCTTTTGTATTCTTTTAGGGTTGTCTTGAATGATTTTAGATAATAGTAATTGAAACTTAAATTTTGTAAATTTTTTTATAATATAGTACAGTTTATAGCAATATATATTTGATCTTCTATAAATATAGTTTTATTAATACTTGTTATTATATTAAAAAAGAATATTAAGTCTTGTTCTTTGTATACAGTTAGTGCAAAAATATTTTGAAATGAAAATTGTTATTTTGAAACTTTTTTATTAATATTAAAGTAGATAATTTTATTATTATTATTATTGCAAATAAGTATAAAAAATAAGACTTTATTGATTTAAGTTAATATTGCTCTATTGTATATACTATATAACTTTTAATATAACATTATATTAAATAGATAATACTATATAAAAATAATTTATAAATAGCCTATGCTTATTTATAAACAATTAAGTTAATATGAATAATAATTTTTTTTTTTTATAATTAATTTTTAAAAAATTGAATTTAATTTAATAAGTTTTTAATATATCTTTGTATTATTATTATTGTTATTATTTTTAATAAATTAATACTAATTTGGTTCTTGTTAAATTGAAATATCAAAATTTGATTGGCTATTGAGTTTATATAAATCATTTAAAAAAGTTAAGTTGATTTTGGTTTTAAGTTTAAAAAATTTTGATATTAATAAAATAAAATAATATAATATACTGTATAAGAATTATTTAAAAGGTTTTAATTAAAATAAATAAGAAAATCTATAATTTAAATATATTTTTTAAAAAAAATTGATAATATTGAGACTAAAGAAAAAAATAATTATAATAATAATAGTAAAGAAAAAAATATATAAAAATAAAGTTAAAAAGAAAAACTGCTATAAATCTTTTTATATATGATTAAAAAATAGGTTAAACTTTCAAATCTGTCAACTTTTTAATTAGAAATCCTATTCTAATATAACAATAGTTCTTAAAGTTCTTTTTTTTTTTTATAGATAAACATTATTTCTTTATTTGGTTTGTATATAATAGGGTATACATTGTAAAAGAAACAACATTTCTTATATGTTAATACAATAAGTTAAAGTTCTTAAAGTTCTTATATTCTTAAACTTAAGATTAATAATATATAGAAAAGTTTTTTTTTTTTTAAGGGCTAAGTTGTGATATATATATGAATTTTATTGTTAAATTACTTAAAATTACAATTATCTATATATGAACAGTCTATTAACTATTGTTAATATTGACTTATGTATCTGTCTTTATTTATTAAAATACTAACTTACATTATATATGTAGTTTATATCCTAATTTATACTATATTTTTCTACTTGTAAATATAAGATAAGAAAAATTCTATCTAATAGTTAAAAACTCTTTTTAATAGTTTTTTTTTTGACTTATAACCTAACCCTTTTTGAAAATTAAATCATCAATTCAGATTGTATTAATATTAAATAGAAAAGTAGAGATTCAATTGAATTTCAAAGTCTACCAATTTAGTTTAGAGTACTAACTAATTAATTATAACTTAATTAAAAAATTAATTAATTTAAATAAGAAAAATAATGATATAGAATTTGCCATTTCAATTGAGATTATGGGTTTATATCAAAGTTAGACCAAAAGTCTTGTTTTATATAACTTTTTTTGCTTTGATCTGTTTTTAGTCTATAATTGTCAAAAAGACCAGAGGCCTTCATCAGGAAATTTTTTAGCAAAGATCTCTAAAGATTTTCAGACGTAGACCTCCGGAGGACCTTTGTTATTGTTAAAAGACTCCAGAGCAAAGGTTACTATATTAAACTCTAGAGATCTTCGATTTATTTTAATAATAATAAAATATATTTATATTCATGTATTATAATCTATTAATATTTAATTTTCAATATTTATTGGCTTTTAAAATTATTTATTATTATATTATACTTGTTTATATTTATTTATTTAGTTAAATCTTCACTTATTGCCAAAGTTCTTCTTTCTAATTTTTTATTTTTCAGTAATTGTCCCAGATCATTCTCGGTATTTTCGCATTCCTTCAGATTATCACTTATAGTAATAATTTGTTGCTTAGTCATTTCTTCATCTTTGCTACTTGAAGTTTCTTCTTCAAATTCAAGTCTTTTTTTAATTCTCTCCTAAAATATTATTA